TAGAGACTCTGAGCAGTCTGTCAAATCTATACAGTTTTGGAAAAAGAACACACATAAAAGCTCACACATAGCTGAGGTGACTTCATCTTTCAAAAGCCTGAATACTTGACTGCTCTCCATTCTCACACATCCAGGCTTGCCCTCCAGCACTCTGGGTAAAAGGCTAAAAATACTGGGCTGTAAGCCATCGCCAGTAGCCCAGGGATTAGTGGAGCTCAGTGTCTCTGGCAGCTCTCCAGTTCCATAGTAGCTTTTGTGTTTCAGATAGAAGCATGTCTCAAAGTCTTCTCAGAGGCCAGACATGAAATTGCTGTTTTGTTTCTGTGAGATCTGTCAGTTTGTTCTCAGTTGCTTGAATTCATACGGCCCAACATGCCTCTGGTGTGTATGTTATCGGCTGATAATGAACTCTTAATCCTTTTTAAAGGACTGAAGGAATAAGTTTTGCTTTGGGCCAGAAACAAACTTTATGCAAGAAATTTGTAATTAAGTTGCTCCGCCATGACAGTAGTTGACTTGAAAAAGAAAAATGACAGTATGTCCACCCTATCAGCTCTTGTGGCAATGAGTACTTCAGTTGCATTATAAATGGTACCCCATGCAATGTAACATAAGCTAGAAGTGTTTGTGTTCACATACTTTTGTACAGTGTGTTTTGGGCCTCATACAATGATTGCATTACTAAAGTTTCAGGCACTTCTATTAGAAAGTATAAAGCTAATTAATCAGTACAGCCATGAACAATGCATATTTTAAAGCTTAAATTACTTTAATTGTTGTGTCTTTGGTATTTGATAATAATTAAGCAATGGATACTTGTGAGTGATTGAAGTTTATATCAAATGTGTACATTTACTATTTCTTAGGTAGTAATGAATGAAGTTCGCTTGTAACGTTAAACACGGCTCTGTTGCAGAGGGATAAACTGTCATTATAAAATAAGCTATGGATGTGGGTGTTGTTAATATGCTTTTGCAGGTCTTTGCTTGCCTAGTTTCTGTTCCATAACTTGTCAATAGATGTCAAATTGCTGCAGTAAACAGATTCCTTACACTTAGCTTCAGCTTACAATATTGTGTTTGTGTTCATTTAAACATGCTGAACTCATGCCTCGTCAGAGCTCCCGAGAGAAATGTCTCACAGACATTTGCAGCCACCTGTTTAAATCTGTTATGTGTTCAGAATTTCCCTTTAGTACTTGGAATGAAACCTGTAGACTGTATTTTTGGCTCTCATGACCGTTTGCATTATATATTTTATTTTGTCAGCTTCGCTGCAGAAGCGTCATTGCACTTGTCTGCTTATTGAGGTTACACTTACAGTCTGCCTTCACGTCTGAACTGGAACTAAACTTGTAGAAGAAATTGCAAGTATATCATAGCCACTATATGAGGATGTAGTTATAATGGAAAGATACACTTTGCTGAGGAATCGAACATTCCTTTTTTCCATTTCCAGAGGACCGTAGTATGCTGGTACGTTGAGGGTGGTCTCTGCGAGGCAGGATATTACAGGATCACACAGGCAAGCCACAAGCGTGTCTAATGTCCTAATTGGATTATGCAGTTGCGGTTTCTTGACAGCAAATTATTCGAACAACCTGAACCCTGAACCCCTCGTGTTTTCAAGAGATGACAAATAATGTAAGACAGCGTTTTGGCATACACCTCATAATCAGCAATTAACTCGACTTGACTCGAAAATGTTCAGACAATATCGCCAAGTAGTATGTGACCACATAGGTCAAGCTCATTCATGAAGCGATCAAGAACTTTGTGGTCAATTCTGAGCACCCCACACATTCACTTAATTCCCCCCAGAATTCCCCCATTTTCTTAACCAGATCTCACAACAAGCCTGAAGGTTACAACTGAATAAAAACACAAGTGGACACAAGTGGAACTTATATTTTTGCATGAAGTCACCTTTGAGCAACTGAATAAACATGTTTTTTATGTCATGATTTCCTTATGAGGCAGCTCCTTTTCAAGCTCAGAATATACTGCATGAACGTTTGGAAATTTAGCTGCATGAAAAGAATCAGTATCTAGTGCCAAAAAACTTGGTGTCTTGACATCCTCAGCAAAATTATATTAAAGTGATCAGAGCGGAATACTTCTGGAAACCTCCAGTGCTGTCATTAACATCAACATCTGCTGCTCTGTTGATGTATGTTTTCTGGGCAACCCCTAGGTTGTAGTTAATAATAGCCAGCACTTATATTAGAAGACAAAAGTGGCAGATTTAAAGCTATAATCTTCACTGTAATAACACATGTGTTTTAAGACCTGAGTCTGTGAGTTTTGTAAATCCATTTATTTCTTTGCCTCTCATTGAATGTGTAAAAGGAACCCAGAAATTACACATAATGAGCTACTGCCCTGCCAGTGCTGTCAATTGGTGTGACCAATATGGTCATTAGCTGACAGTCTTGTCCCCTGTATGTGTTATGAAAGTAACTCTCAGCTCTCCTCGTCACAAACCGCAGAATGCTGGTTAGATGTTCGCCAGCTATGCGGCAGACCCAGCCAGTGTGTTTTATGCTTGCATGCTCTAAAATAAATTGACAATAGAGGTGCTGCTCCATCGCATGCTGCCTACTCCATGTCTAAAACATGAGACATTGGCTAAATACTGCTAAATAAGTATATGTGTGTTTATTTGTTCTTAGTTTGGTTGCTGATATTTCTATGATTGTTGTTGATGTTATCTAATGTATGTACACAAGCAACACAAGCTCACGAAAAGAAATACTGCATTCTACTGCGTACAGAAGTTCAAGTTTGGCGAACTCTGACCTGTGAGGAGAAGACTTGGGACCAATAGACAATCTAAACATCAAAGAGGGACCACTTGACTTAATTAAAATATTCAAGCTGCAATGGATTGCAGTGTTATGTATAGATTATGTATGTTCACATTTTGAATTTATGTGTTGCATTATTAATAATTAATTAAAGCCCTGGAGTGTGACATTATATCCTGTTCATTGCAGTGTCTGTAGAAATTTTGCATACAGGAAGTCCAGTGTGACCGCGGCTTCACACACACTCAGTCTATAATAACTATTGTCAGTATTGGACTCAAATACCGTGATATGATATTCCACACAATCAGTTTTGTTTTGGAAGGGCGCCACTATAAACTAATAAACATATGGGTCAACCTCTGCAGCTTATCAGCTCATCAGAATTTTGACTGGCGTTACTCGATTACAGTTTATTACAATTGCTAGAACACATTTCTGAATACTTAGGTCACTTTTTCAAAACTCTTCACACAGCAAGCACAACATCAATCTATGTGGGCTAAACTGTGGATAATTTATCATTCCTTTGGCACAAAATGCATTCATTGATGACATCTGTCAAATTACATGAATTATTTTCTCACTTCGACACAAACACCACCAAAACGTTATGTACTACAAGCTAATTTGCACGTTTACATACTGTTTTCAAAACTGTAAAACTTAAGTTAAAATCCTAGCACAGTACAAAAATGAATAAGATTCAATTCTGAATGTAAAAAATCAAATACCATCAAAGCAGTTGCATGTAGCTGAACATCTTCACAAGTGCTTCACTTTCATTACCATCTATACAAAAGGGGAAAACTTAGAAATAATTTTGTACTGTAATGTAAACATGGACCATGTAACATATACTGCAGTGAATTATAAACAGTAGAGAGTATGATTCTTGTTTTGTAAAGAAATTTTACAAAAGAAAACATTGTGTAGTGCTACCTGTTGTTAGTGTTTTTTAGGTTGTTGTGTTACGAGTGATAAAGCCCAGATAGCACACGTACGTCTACAAGATGTCTCTTAAAGATCGCTTAAAGCATCTGCTGTGTACAAACATCTGATAGACGTCTCTAAGATGTCAGTTTTACATACATTCTAAATCATAAACATCTTAAAGACATTTTCTAAATGTCTATTTGACATCTGATAGGAAACTATAGATGTATTGCAGATGATCAAACACTCTAAAAAATACGTCTTGCAGATGTACATGCAGACGTCAAATAGACGTCTCCGTGATGTATGTGTGCTATCAGGGTGTGTTTGTTTGGTGAAAACCTTTTCTAGTGTCATGTAAGAATGCCTTGATTTGAGACATTATAGAAGTGTTTTGGTAGTTTTAGTGCATTTTGAATGTGAAATGAACTGCTGTGTCAAGTTGAAACTGAAAGATGGTTAGGAGAACTGTGTGAAGAGTTTTGAAAAAGTGACTTTAGTATTGAGAAATATGTCCTAGCTGTTGTAAAAAACTGTAAGAACAGTTGTAATTTTGTACTGTAAAGCTGTAAAGCTGTATGGTTGTACTGCTGCCTATCTGGGCCAGGACACTCTTGAAAAAGAGATTTTTAATCTCAATGAGTTTCTTCCTGGTTAAATAAAGGAAAAAAAAAAATGTTCCCAGAATTTTCTCTTACGACATTGTCCCCAATGCATGTTATTGATTTGTGATGTACTCTGCCTTGCCAAGTAGTAACAAACAGAGTTGTGGGTGATTTGAGGGTGAATTTGGATTTTGGCATTTTCCTGTTACAAAATCTGATTCATTGCCATTGCAATATGCAGTCCTCAGTACAAAGTTGTATAACCCATTGAACTTCAGTGCAATATAGACAGATCACAAACTGTTTGTCTGTTGTATTGGATTTCTTGAACTTCTCAAGACTTGAACTAGTATTGGCCAAACAAACAGCTTGGCTCAATGTGTTGAAGCATGCTTGCAAAAACTAGGCTCAGGGGTTGGTGGAACTATCCAAATCATATACCATGGTATGAGTACATTTATATCACGGTAATGGTATATTTTAGTAAATGTATCATTTTGGTCCATTTTGGACTTTGGTCTTTGTCTGGGACACCCTTTCTAAATGGTAAAGGCTACTGGCTGACACATCTCTTCCGATGTTCATATATAACATAAAAAAATAGCCTTTAAACAATTCCTCAGTAACAGTGATGGTATTGCTCTCTTTTGTAGGCTAACAGGTAATGAACCCCTGTCCATTTTGCCACTGAGCTCACAGCCAGACGAAAGGGCGGGCAAGGCACACTACAAGCTGTGTGATCGACTCAAACTGGAGAAGAAACAGCGCAGAATGTGCAGACGGGACCCTGGCATGGCTGAGACTCTAATGGAGGCCATCAGCATGAGTGCCTTAGAGTGCCAATATCAGTTTCGCTTTGAGAGATGGAACTGCACCATAGAGGGCCGCTACAGGGCTAACATTTTAAAGAGAGGTAAGTAGTGTGCAATCTATACAATGCCTATACAATATTGATGGTCTACTGACTATGGGTAAATGCATGTACAGGTAAACTTATTTTACTAACCCTAACCATAAGTCTAATACTCTAATGAGAGCTAGAGGCTGTTTACACAACACTGTTTTCAACTAAAAACAGAAAACTTTTTATGCCTTTTGGCCATTCATTTACATGACAACAGCGTTTTGGAGGTCTGAAAATGCCAACCCAGGCTCACTGAAAATATGTGCTTGTGGTGACGTTTCTGCAAAATTGATATTACGTACTTTATTGCATATTTCGCACAGTTTTGATGTGAAAGGTCCAGTGAGTGGTGCTAAAACATGCGTTGCCATGTGACCATGGACATGTTTTTTATTACGTTGGTACACGTATTGTGGCACACGTATAATTTGGCCTGCCATGCCATATACGACAAGAGGGGAAAAATGGCATTGATGCTAGGCCTGTCGCGATAGTTACTATATCGACTTATCGCACGAAATATGGACATGACCATGGTAGGTTTTGGTGACGCAGTATTGCCCATTGCGTTCACATGCTTGTTTGTTCACATAAAAAATTAATTTCAAAAACATTATAGATATCCAGCTGCCTCTGACATCTGGTCTGCTTTCTATTGTTACGAGCTCCCCTAGTCTAGGTTAGGAAATTCTCATAAGGAAATAAAAGGAAAATAAAAGGACTTGGATCCAATTATCTGTATTTCCTCTCCTGTCTCAGCTCATAAAAATTACACTTTAGAGAAGAGTAAATTTGACCAACATAGTGGCTTTTTATTTGAAGTTTTACAAAAGGAAAAACAAACAGGAAGTGATTCTCTTCAGGGGTGTATTGCAGAAAGCACGGTTAACTTACCGTCAGCTAAACCCTGAACTTTCGGTTGATTAACCCCAAACCTTGCTTACTCAAGGTATGTGGTTCCAAAAACGCGTCCGGGAGTAAGTTCATTCAACTCAGAGTATGTTCCTGGTTAAGGCTCAAGACATTCTCAACAGAGCGACGAATAGACGAGTCACTATGGAAACGGACGCTAAGAAAAAGCACACCATGCTGTTTCTTTCTTCTTCTTTTGTTCAGTGGTCATTTACATGCTTAGTGCATATCGCCACCTAATTGATGGTTGTGCAATCATTTTTATTTTTTTTCCATTTAATCTTTAATCCTTGAGAATATGAATTATATTGTTTGTTTGATGCTAACTATATATTAAGTCATATTAGATATGTATTTTGATTTAGAATTGAGACATTATAGAAAATGCCGATCCATGTGTGAGATGATAATACAAAATTTAATAAATAAATATATATAATATAATAAAATAAACATTACCTTGTCATAGTGCTTTATAATTGATACAGATAACTGTTATATATGCCAATAAAATAAATATAATAACCATATTAGAATAATATATTACCTTATTTATTACTTATATTAGTGCTTCATCATTAACATATCATACACTGAACAAAATTATAAACGCAACACTTTTGTTTAATTCCTGGAAGCTGAAAACATCCCAGTTCTTGCATGGCCAGCATACTCACCGGACATGTCACCCATTGAGCATGTTTGGGATGCTCTGGATCGGCGTATACGACAGCGTGTTCCAGTTCCTGCCAATATCCAGCAACTTCGCACAGCCATTGAAGAGGAGTGGACCAACATTCCACAGGCCACAATCAACAACCTGATCAACTCTATGCGAAGGAGATGTGTTGCACTGCGTGAGGCAAATGGTGGTCACACCAGATACTGACTGGTTTTCGTGGTCTCGTAAACTGGCTCGTCAGTAGATCACACGTGCGCTGAAGTGAACTAACCCTGGAACATAACCTGCTTCAGAGAGCAAGTTACTATGGTTACTTACATGCCCTGAAAGTAACCTCCGATTTTGGAACCGAAAGCTGAGGTGATCCGCTCGCTTATCCTTAAACATACCCGGGTATATCACATAACCTGCTTTTTGGAATACCCCCCAGGAGAGGTACAAGCCAAAACAATAAACAAAACATACTCTACCTTTAGAGTCTACTAGAGTCTACTAACTAAAACTCCCAAAATAAATGACAAGTGCCTTCCCTGACTCCTTAACTGTCGGAAAACAGGAGAAAACAATGTTCAAAAAGAAAAAGGGCAAACCTACTCCTTACAGCTTCCGAAGACTCCATTTTAATGGTGAATTAATGTGATTAAAATACTGCGTTTGGAAAAGGCATACAATGAATACACTGGTCAGCCACACAAGCCGAATTACAGTACACAATAGCACACATCAGTCTGGAGCAGGAGACGAAGAGCAAAACGAAGAGCCACTGCCATCTTCTCCTTATTTCAACACTCCCGTTCCTCATCACAAATTCTCCTCAGCTGGTCCTAATTAGGCATAGAGAGAGAGAAATGGAGAGAGCAAGACTCCTCACACAAGTCACAATACACATTTTCATTAGTGTACATAAAACAACAGCAATAACACAAAGGGAAAACAAAACAAAACAAGCTTTATGTCCCAGGACGTAACACTATCTGTGTATGACGTAGAGGCAGGGCTCAGGCAGCTCCTCACACACACACACACACACACACACACACACACACACACACAGAGCAGACAGAGACAGGGGAACTGAAGCGTGTGCGATTACCTCCGTCTGTCCTTCTTCAGGTCAAGTCATTATTAGTAAAACAGTTTGCCATCAGTTGTCAGAAGATGAAAAGCGATATCTTTGTCATAGCATCCTTTCAGTGTTTAAGGGGATTTTGGTCTCAACACTGTTCAATGCATTGAATCAATGGCATTATTCTCTTTGAAATGAAACATCAGCTTCAGCATTACCCAGATAATTTGTTGATCGTCGATTGAGCCTTACTAAGTGGCGTTCAAAGTTAAATTAATTTCAACACCATGTTTCATTCATGAATGAATCAGCATTTGTATGTCTATTCGTTAAATGAACAGATCGGTTTAACGATGACTACTCATAAAGACAGTTCCTTGCCACCACCTACTGGTGTAACAATGTAACTGCATTGACTGACAGTCCCAGTGCTGATACTGTTGAAATATCAGCACTTTTGGAAAGTCTCTTCATATAGCATAATAATAATAATAATAATAATGTGTTAATATCGATATTGATCCACTCAAAATCACTGTCAGCGAAGTGTCCTGATGAAATTCATGTGCAAAAAGGCACAAGTGATATTATCTCTGTTTGGCAGTACCTTCCTCTATGAACAAACTTCCAGTCTTATGAACTTGAACAAGTGTAAAATGAGAAGCAAACTAACTGACTATCACCTACATAATATCCTGACTTTGTCAGTAATTCAGCTGCAGCTCAATTTCGAAAACATTTGAAAAATAAGGACCGGCTTCATGTCTCTCATTAGAGGTCACTGATTTTGCAAGCATATGGCTGTGTTGCTTTTATCTTAAATAGCTGTATTAGGCATTGAACTCTATTGTACTATAAATGGGAGTGTTTCTATGTTTTCATTGTACTATAAGTTTAATTGAACTATAACATTTTGAAAATAAAACTGCATTAGTTAAGCAGATTACAGAGTAATGTTTTCTTTTTATTTATTAATTTTTAAATATTATGAACTCATAAATGATGGGGACCTTAGAAAATGTACTATAATACATATAATTTAATAAAAGTTTAATATAATACAGTTTAGTATAATGCAATTCTTATTTTCAGCCCACAGCCCTCAGTCAAGTTTGATTTTTGGCCCTTCATAAGAAAAAGTTTGGGCACCTCTGCCCTACACCCAACCCAACCTAAACCAGCCTGATAGTGTTAAAGAATGCAAAAGTGATATAAAAATACATTCACTGATACAACTGTACTATTTTTACTTCCTTCTACACAGGTTTGAGCTGTTTTGTTGAACCGTAGTTTCACGGGATTGTACCAGTGAACCTCCGTACCGGAGCGCTTCACTTCACAAGTGCAACGCCGTATTGTGTGAGCTACTGAGCAAACCTACTACATTATAAAACCAATATATGAAGCTGTATATGTGATGCTAACGTTCAAAAGTATCAGTTTTAATCTCGCAGCATGTTAGAATTGTTTTGAAGTCATAACACAATATTGTGCAGGAATTGTGCGAAATTTAGGCTTTCTTAGGGAAAAAGTTTTACTGCCTCTAGTGTTCATTTCAACTGGAAACTGCAGCGATTTATTTGTATGTATGTACATTTTTTGAGTTTTGCAGAAATGTAGATAGAGGCACATATTTCCAATTAGCCTGGGTAGGAAAACGCAAACTTTTAAAATAGGGTTTCAAAGTGCAAGTTTTTGAAAACAATACCAGTATAGTCTCCGTGTAAACTATAAAAACGTGAATTTGTGAAAACAGTGACGTCATGGGCGCACATATTATGTGTTCAGTCTATAGGCATGCGCGAGTTTCTTTACAAAGTGACATCGCCAACTACTGGCTTGGCATGCTTAATAAAGCAGTTTAATCTTTTTCAGTTCCATGAGAACAGCGATTGTTTTCGCAATATTGTCGCCTGTATGAGAAACTTTTCAAAAAAGCAAAGGAAAAACTTTTCCATTTTGCAGTACATTGTTGTCTTGTAAACGTACCCTTAGTTGGCATATAGTTGCAAAATGACTAGTTGGTAGAATGTCTAAAGTGGACTATTTAAATAAAATAGAACTGCTTATGATACTTTTTTTCAGGTTTAGTTTTTTTCAGGTTTCTTTGATGAAAAAAGTATTTATGTGAAAACAGAAATCTTTTGTAACATCATAAATGTCTTTACTGTCATTCATTTACTTGCTGAACAAAAGTAAGTACAAGGGGGGCTTGGAACTGTTACTAGCATTCCCTGTAAAATCACAGGATTGAAGGTCAGGAATGAACTATTGGCTGCCTCGTAATCTCCATGTTCCTCACAGGCTTCAAGGAGACGGCATTCCTCTATGCCATCTCTTCAGCAGGCCTGACCCACGCCATGGCCAAAGCCTGCAGCGCTGGCCGCATGGAGCGCTGCACCTGTGATGAGGCTCCTGACCTGGAGAACCGCAAGGCTTGGCAGTGGGGAGGCTGTGGAGACAACCTCAAGTACAGCAACAAATTTGTCAAAGACTTCCTGGGTAAGAGGTCCAACAAGGATCTCCGCGCCCGGATAGATATGCACAACAGCAATGTAGGGATGAAGGTAGGCTGCTAAGATATATTAAAAAGTATGGGGATCATGGGAATCATAAATAATGTGGGAAATGTTGTGTGACAGAAACATGAATGAGAAACATAAAGTTATCTGCATACAGTATACTATAAAGTGATTGAACCGTTTAGCTTTCTTTCTTTCTTTCTGTCTTTCTTTCTTTCTTTCTTTCTTTCTTTCTTTCTTTCTTTCTTTCACTCAAATAGTCTGTAAAGGTCCCATTTTAAATCACTTAAATTGACTATTTAATTCAGTAATTTATAATAAGTGCCCATTAATCAAAGTTTGGTTTCCCTTAGTCTAAAGTGCACTGAGTTTGTCCAAGTCTTCCATTGTTTCTGGTAGGAGAAAGAGCCGAGGTAACATTGAGGCCCTCGTAAGAGTAAAAACAAAAAAAGAAGGAACAGAAAAAGACCCATAACAGAGAGCCAAAGTAAACTACAGGTCTGGCACCAATAGATTGTCTCATATTGTTAGTTTTAGTTGTAGAATGAATATAAATTACAGCAGCACTCAGCAGACTTGCCCTCTTTGCTCAGTCCATCTCAAGTAGTCGTCCTCAGGCCATATTGTCTGCGATAAGAGATTTACAGCACTGCATATTTTGGTCCATCTGCACATGTAAGGAGGTGTACGGGGTTTGGGGTCAAATCCCATATGGAGAACACACTTGGAATGTGCTAGCCTCGGCATCACCTGCATTTTAAAGCTGATGTTACATGTTTTCCTCTCCTTCCATTGTGGTGGATTTGCAGTTTCTGTTGAACTAGTCCACCACTTGTTTAACACAAAATGTCCAGACAGCACCTTTTATATGCATATCTTAAAGTTCACATTCTTACAGAAATGTTGAATGGATCAAACACTGTGGTGAAATTTAAGTAGCTACCTCTGTCAGCAGTTCAGTTTTATGGTTTTATGGCATCTCTTCTCAATTTAAAACATTTGTCTATCATTTATTACAACTGTTTTCACATTGACACTAATTTCAGAAACTTGATGTCTTTTTTCAAAACTTTAGACACAAAATTCAAAATGGACATCAGTACCTAGTGTTCAATTTTGCATTGTACATTCATATATTAAAAGAAAAAAAAAAAGCTAAATAACTGGTTCAGATAAATTATTTATTATGAAATATCATAGGAACATTAATTTAGATCACCCGCACACAAGATTCAGATAGTTTTACTGTGTAGTTGTTTGTACAATCATTAAATATTGTAGTACAAAATATGTGATACGTATTTTATTATGGCACTACATAAATACATCACTGTAAACAGACTAGAAGAGAGAATACTACAGACAGTGGAATCTTAAAACAAATTCTGCTTGAAATATACAGTATTGATTAAATACAATCAAATCATAACATCGGTTTCTTTGAATCAAGGCAAAAATGATTTTAGTAGCTACAAAACAAACAAATAAACAAAACACTAAAGCCCAGTAAACGTCCAACTGCAGTGGAGAAAAAACAAGGGTTGAGGGACTGCAAAAATTTTTTTTTCAAATCTGAAAACATTTATTTTAATGTGTCCTTATTACAGTCTAATTATACATTTAAGTACTGAGGAATATTATTTAACGTACATTGGGTTAGAATTAGGGTTTGGCTTAGGGTTACTTGCATGAAATTACAGTATGCATAATTTACTGTTATTAATATAGTAAGTACATGTAACATATAACAAGGACACGAAAATAAAGTGTTAACAGATCTGGTTATCCTGAAATGTACCTGATGGAATATTCTTTGTCAGTTTCCATAAAATTGGAAAGATTGAAGGTTAAATCATTGTAATGAAATTAATCATCTCAGCATCTCATCAACAGTCATCTCCAATGTAATGTGTAAATTGCATTTTGAAATAGTAATTCAACTGAATACAATTGAAATGTTACCATTTTTACGATCACTATGACCCATCTCAGTTCTTAGTTCTTAGGTCACTTTATCAAAATTCTTCACACAATGAGCACAACAGCTGTCTATGTGGGCGAAACTGTGGATAATTTTTCATTGCTTTGGCACAAAATGCATTCAATGACTACAGCTTTCAAATTACATGAATTATTTTCTCACTCAAACACAACTACCACCAAAACTACAAACCAACAGGCCAATTTGCATTGGTTATACACTCTTTTCAAAACTGTTAAACTTAAGTTCAAAACCAAACATACAGAACTGAATAAGGCAGCAATTTAGAATACTACCACATTGAAACCCATTGTAATAAAAAACTAAATACTATCAAAACAATTAGTTGTAGCTGAACACCTAAATAGGTGTTAGTTTTTCAGTAAATCTATACAAAATAGGACAACTTAGGGATAATTTTGAAAAAAATCTAAATCGTGTAAGTTTGAATAGGTGATTTTAGTTCAGTGAACAAATGAGCTTAGCTTTAGGTTTTGTATCCAAGCAAATGGAGTAAATTTGTGAGTTTTGTGTTTAGCGTTTAAAAAAAAAATGACATCACTGTTCTGATATTAGTGCCAAAAAATGTTTGTAAAAAACCTGTAATGTTTACAGTTTTTCTGAATTGCTAAAACACTAAACCCCAATCTCTGAACCAAATTCTCACTAGCTTAAACCAATTTGTCGAATAAAGCACTCTTTCTGCTAAACCTTAAACACGTTCAGGCAGTTAGGCTCTATTAGCAAATCTCATGCACTCTTTTTGTAAAAAATCTAAACACATTCTCATTCACTTAAACACTTATCACACTGTGATAGATTTGTGCTGCAAAATGCTAAACAAAAGCGACAAAAGTTAAACAACTAAAGCACAGTGGTCATCGTTTACACACAACGATTCAAAATTGTTCACACTTGTTTCTAAAGATGTGATCAAACCAACTGTACAAAATATGAGCCAGCTCAGAGTGCACAAGTGGCACAGGTGACTGAATGATGATACGAACAATAGATGGACACAATCTGAGAAGGAGAGGAGGAAGTGTACATGTAAGAAGTGGAGGAAGAGGATTAGGAGAGAAAGAGTAAGGTTTAGAGAGTGTTATCAAGGCTGGATCTGTCAGACGTTTTTTTTCTCTTTGTCTGGCAAAAAAGACAACATTACTTGTGATGTGGACAAAGTCCTCAGGCCAGACTCAAGCACAAAGGCATGATGCTGAGACAGAATGAATCTGTCATTGACCCTGATTTTACAATTGCACAACTTACAGTATTTGAGTGTACTGTAACATGCTATTCATTTAGAGTTTTATTTGACCTTTTTGGCCTTTGCAGTTGGACTGCAGTATTTTGGCAGTATCCAAGAGCTGAATATATACACACATTCAGCACTATTCAATATTCAGCACAATACTATAGTTTTGTGTAAACTATCACTTGGCAACATCAGCTGACTTCTCGATCTGGATAACCGATCAGATCTGTATTTCCCGCACGATATTTAAATAAGTCTGCGGTGCAAAGTCGACCTGAAGTGGTCGAATAGTGAATATTTCACCGAATAGTGAAAATAAATGTACGAGTCTCACTAGTGCTCTGTTCTTCTGACAGTTCGGGAGACATCATTTTGCATGATGTCGACCTGCGAATGCAGACACGATGGCTGGATTGCGTTTACATAACACTGAGATCCGTTCACAATGCGTCCTCGACTACCTCTGGACCAGGACACGCTGATCGGATAACATTCCAATCAGAAGCGCATTTACACTTGTTTTTTCAATGTGTATGTGGACAACATCCAGATACAGGTCGCATGTTAATGCCAAGTGTAAACGCAGCCTTATACAGGGATGATAATTGATGAGACACACCTGAACATGATGACACAATCAGACATAGACAGAACCTAGGTCACAGAGCACATGGGGAGTGAAAACACTAGTGTTGGGTCGTTCTTGAACGATTCGTTCATTTTGAATCTGTTTCTTATAGCATTATAGTTTTGTATTGTTTGTAGTGTGATCAACGTTTGCGTAAGTAGTAGACATATTAGGGAAGTAACACGTAACATTTTAATTATATTTTGCTAAAATGAACGAAATGAACGAAATGACTCGAAAAAAGATTCGTTCATTTTGCTGAACGAGACTCAAAGGAGTCGGTCAAATGATCCGAACTTCCCATCACTAGAAAACACAAACAGTCCTGGGTTGTGACACACTTAGCGTCTTGTGACTGAAATTAAAGTTACCAAGGCTATCATAATTACATATTTAGTTTACCTTTTCTTAAAATTGTATATAACGGACATATTTTAAAGCACCGCTTTTTAATGACAACTGATGGTGCTTTTGATAAAACCATAATTATGGCAGTTAGGTAAGAATGACGATAACGCCCTACTCCCCAATGGCCTGTATTATATCTTTGGTCTTTGTTTGGGAAGGGTAAAAGCAATCAAAATATGTGGGAACATTAAAGTCACTGCTTCAATGTGCTTTTGAAATACTTGTTTTGTAAATAGCATTGCCCATCTGTTTAACTGACCCATTCAGATTTATCAATATGAGGGGCAACATAAGGGTTTGGTAAACACTGCACTTACTGCATCTTTGATGTATCGCAGCTGAGCGCTGTGCTGTGTCTGCTGAGATAATTGGAGACGTAAATGTTGATGTTTGGTAAAAATCTCGAATGTAATTCCTTTGATGTGTGTAGTCTGACTACTTTTAACATTTTTCCCGCACAGGTGATCAAGGCGGGGGTGGAGACCACCTGTAAGTGTCATGGAGTTTCGGGCTCGTGTACCGTGCAAACATGCTGGAGGCAGCTGGCACCCTTCCACGAAATCGGCAAGCAGCTCAAGCAGCGCTACGAGACTTCAATCAGAGTGGTCAGCTCCACCAATGAGGCGACTGGGGAGGGGGAGATCTCCCAGACCCGATCCCAAGGGCAGCAGCCCCCTCCGGGCCCTCGACCGGACCTCATTCCCCGCACCCTTGACCTACTTCACATTGAGGACTCGCCGAGTTTTTGCAGGCCTAGCAAGTATTCGGCAGGCACCATGGCCCACAAATGTTACAAGGATAAGAACTGTGAGGCCATCTGCTGCGGCAGGGGCCACAACACTCAGAGCCGGGTGGTGACGAGACCGTGTCAGTGCCAGGTGCGCTGGTGCTGCTATGTTGAATGCAAACAGTGCACACAAAGAGAAGAAGTTTACACCTGTAAGGGGTAAAAACTGTCACGACCATGCAGAATATCTCTCACCAGTCTGAGAACAGTGAATGAGTGGAAGGCAAAAAGAGAGGATAAGTGACAAGTTGTCCTGGTTTGGAGAAAGGTCTCAAAGACATCAGACTAGTTGAAAGCACTTTTTTGAGAGGTTTTGCAGGGCATTTTTTTCTGTTTTCCATGTGGAGCAGCGTGAAAGCTGTATAATATACCAAGCCTAAGGGAATGGTCTACAGCTTTGAAAGACACCTTGGAACTAGATTAAACATTTCACGGAGTAATTAGTCTGCCAAGATATCAATCAACAGTGAAGTCCAGTCTTGGACAGACAATTGTTTGCCCAATGATTTGACAGTCTCTGAATAATAGCTTCAAGCCATATGTGTAAGAGTATGTGTTTGTATGTGACTTAATTTCAACTTGCAGACAGAATTTGCAGTGAAAAATAATGGCGTCAGATTTATTCTACATGCACATGTATCCTACACCCACACAAGAGTGTGTATGCATATGTACATAGATAAAATTACATTATAATTCTATTATATACACCACTTATCTGAGTATGTTAAATAACCACTAACCACACAAATGTTTTATTGTTTGTGTGCTTGCATTCACTTTGTGTTGTAATTCTCGACAAGGCCCTTAGGAAAGCAATACTTTTGATTTGTGTTTTTCTGTTGATATAATTTATGGAACATCTCAAGGAATGGTCCTTGCATGGAAGGAAAATGTGCTTTTACTTCCTTTTTGTTTTTTTATTTTATTAATTTCTTTTAGTGGAAATCTTTGCCAGTCTATTTAAGATTTAACTCGGCCTTAAACAAACTCTACAAATGACTGTTCAGGGAACAAGTGAAACCACTATGCACCATTGTATGGTAAAGAAATCTCAGAGATAACGCAAGGAGCTTAGTCTCTGTGATTTAGGCTTCCACTTGATGACAGATCTGTCCATCTAGCTGCTGATTCATTGCTGTAATCGTTGCAGCAGTGCTTTTCAGGACAATGCTGGTTAAATATGAAATATGCCATGGTTCATGGCCACTTTATGTTCTGTCAGTTTAACAGACAGCTGGAGGGTGCAAATAAGAGTTGAGAATGAACATGACAGCAAATGTGAGATCCAAATTTGAATTGGAACGAAAAAAAATTTTCCCCCTTTTTTCATTGTATTTCTAGGGGGGAAATAATCAACCTCAGAGCTAATCTAATACATTTTCCAGCAGATATTGATGTTGGAAAATTAAGGTGAACTTTTTTTATATTCAAGTGTGGATGATGTATTGCTTGACTGTGGTTCTCTCTTGTCACATTGTTAACTTTTACTAAGAAAGTTTTGCTTAATAACTACATTGGACAAATGCCCATGCATGTTAATGAACAATGATCATTTCATCTAATCTATTCACAATTGTGGAGAGGCTGGACATGGCATATTTTTGTATGACTATATGGGCGTAGAAGTCCATATACTGTATCTATATTGTAAAATATAAACACTGAAATTCCATATTTTTGAAAATTATTTAACATAACAGCTGGAATGGAGAATGCCGCCGTGTGACCAAATGACAGGATCTAAGTTTCTGATCAGACTTTTAATCATTTAAATGCTCTGTCAGTTTAGTGGCAGCACAAACTTTGAAAATGTATGATTTTGTATTCAGATTGCCAAACTCTGTTGAGATCACATTGTGTAAATACAATATATAGAAATTAAGATATGACAAAATATATATGAATGAATTATATATGCTCTTTTATTTTTTTAGTTTAGTGTGAATGAACTACTGAGTGAGAGACCGACAACAAGAAAAATGGTACCATTCACGCACTGAAGCTTGGAAGCTCTTTTATTTATTTATGATTTTTGTTGTAAATAGCTATGGTTATGTTCCTGTGGCATACAGACAAAAGTGAGGCACATGCATACCGCTTTTGGACAGAACTTTCCAGAATAAAGATGTTTAGACCTGTCTGACTAAGTAGAGGTACATTGTTGTTTTAAGTTAAAATTCAAACTCAAACAGTTTTTTTTTCTCTCAAACTTTTATGAAGTGCCAAGTTCAGTGCTTTGTAAATAAATGTTACAATTTTATGTAATTATCCTTAGTAGATCTCTGTGAAAATATGCATCATCTGGAAAGCACTGCATTTAATCTTTTTTTTTGTGTCAAATCTTTAAATAAGCAAATTTACTTTTAAATTTTTAATCAAATGTTGCAAAAACATCTGGTGAATGATTCAATAAGGAAAGTTTTGATGTTGCATTGAAGATGGGCAAATGTTCAACTAAAATGACATCTGCATAAATAGACAGCACTACAAAAAAAAAAAAATGTTATTAATTAATTTCTCTTGTTTTTTTTCTAGTAAAAATATATTTAAAACAAGACACATTTACTTCTGCAAATTTGCATAAGATATTAAGACTTTTTGCTTCTCAAGGATGCTCATATATTTGTCATGGGAAGCAACACAAAAATGATAATATTTCATATTAATATATATATATAAAAAAAAAAATCAGTGAAGATTTTGTTGCTAATTTTGAATACAAAAACCAAGGGGTTCAGGAGTGCACAGGAAATAATTCTGTCTGAGAAGGGATTCAAATTTTCTTTCATTTAAAGTAACGAGCTGAATTCCAAATAGTTATTTGATGGGGAGACTTGCCAATTAAAGAATGCATGGAAACACAAACATAGACTTGAGCATGCTAAATGGAAACCATAATGGCTATGCAGAGTTTTTCACCAGTCATGGTGTCTGCCCACAGCAGAAGTGAACAGAAAACAGCAATGACATTCATATAAGACACAATTCTCCTCAGCTGCTTGTTCACATCTGTTTTGACTACATACAATGTAGATATCACATATAGTTGCATTGTTGGCATGCTGCATGTTCTCAGTAATCAGTAATATATATTTTTTTCATTGACAGAAGGCATTGTGAAAGCATATGTTTATTTTTGTTGTTGTCTTGGTTCCATATTCTTCCTTTTCCAATGCAACCTGTATAAAATGTATTTGGTAGGAAAATGGACAGACAGACAAAATATAACTTATTTTGAAATGTTTTATGAGCATGTGTTAATTGTACATTTTGTAAAGTTCAAGATGATTTTCTATATATTTTCTTGCATTTGGCCTGTTATTGTGTATTTGCTTTCTAGGGTTGCGGTATACTTTTTTTTTTTTTTCTACAACTTAATTGCTCCCGATGGTTAAAAGAAAAAACAAAAATCCCCCCAAGAAAAAACAAAAAACAATGCAAACCCTGTAAAATTCAGTTCCTCTCCTATGTCTGAAATGCAACGTTGTCCTTATTTATGATGAGGAATGTATACCAAAGATTAACAATATTTAGTATGTAACCAACTCAAAACTACAACACCCACAATAATACTATATATGTCCCAGTCAGCTGTAGCAATTTCATCATTTGTAGCATAAAGACTGTAAAATGTTATACTATTTTATACTACTATGTTGATTATATGAAATAAACAACTAACAAGTCAGTTGATTGTTATAGACCAACATTCATTGAACAAATGCATAGTAATTTTTTCCATAAATTCCAATGGCTTGGCCACTATTCTGATTTTTGTCAGGGTTTGTGCAATGCTGTAACTATTAAAAGGCATTCTTTTTCTTTTAAGGGCAGAGTTTTTGTCAGTAGTTTGTCTTTGTCCACTTTTGTCTTGTCTTATGGGAAACTATTTTCCTCTAAATTATTTTCCTCTACCTCATGTGTATAGCTTGTAGGTATAAACTGATCATGAATGACTGGTAAGAATGTATTTAAGTTATTTAACATCTTTGTATAACAAAGGCAAGAAAATCTGAAAATAATAAAAGAGTTTTTAAAAGAATGTTGAGATTTTGTGTTTCTGATTTTACATCACATCTCAAACCTCCTTTCTATTGGTTAAAAATTGTTGAAAAAAATGGGTTTTGTTGGGTTTCATTCAGCTAAATTCTATTTTCTTTCTTTCTTTTTTTTTAAAGTAACCTATGCTGGCAGGTTACCATGTAATATGATATTACAACCCTTTCTGTCTGTTACTGACCCCCTTTCCTCTGAAATTTGGGAAAGCTACACAATGAATTGTAAAGACGTCATCAAGGAACTGGGAACATGAAACTGATCAACATGATGTGTCGCAGTTTCCTGTTCTTGTCTTTATCCTATTTTGGGGACACAGAGATTAATTACAGGCAGGAAACAGCTGTCTCAAGGTGTTTTTTTTTTCTTCCAGTGACAGATTTCTGTAATGACTTTATATTTAATGGCTTTCATATCTGTAGTGAAGTTCACAAGCTTGGTTCAGTTAAAGTCATCCATTTCAAACTCCTGCTGGAATAGCATCTTCCAATGTCCGGCTGTAATTGGGGATGGGGTTGAGATTGTCGCCACCAGAGATGTAATTAGTGAGAATTGGTGAGCTGGGAGGAAGATGCACATCTGGGCAGATGGACAGGACATGGGGGAAAAATATGAAGTATACAATTTCATCATTTGTAACATAATTTTGACATGTCTTGGTGCCAAACCCTACAATGATTTGTAAAATATAAATCAGCAGAATAGCATTTATATGCACCTCTCTGCTTACACGTTTTTGTAAACCTGTTTCATATCATGCTGGCATAGCTCAAGAATCTCTGATTATGTTGAATCAGAAGTCGAACAACTTTGCCAGATTATGATACTAACTCCCCACTGAGGATCTTTTGTTCAGCCTCAAGTTCTTCACCAGCTGTGTAAAGCCTTATAGTGAGAGAGCTTTGAGTTTCCCCAAAAACATTCATGTGCTAACAGTGTTGGGGAAAGTTACTTTTAAAAGTAATGCATTACAATATTGCGTTACTCCCTAAAAAAGTAACTAATTATGTTACTTTTTATGGAAAGTAATGCGTTACGTTACTTTTGCGTTACTTTTGCTTTACTTTTTAAATATGAGCAGGGCTTGATTGTTTTTAATATAAGAAGTTCTATTTATAGCAAATGTAAAAGCCCTTTCACACCAAAAAGTGTAATGAATAAACCTCAGGCTGAAGGAAAAGGAAATTCACATCTGTACAGTAGAACACAGGAAAAGAAGGTTCAACACTCTTCAGCAATAAAAAAAAACAATTGTTAGTTTATCTAAAATCATTTTTGCTTAT